GTACTCTTAGGAATTCACTGATTTCAGAGAGGTAAAAACACTCCTTTGTGTGTACGTCAAAATGGCCATCTACCTGTCTGCCACTGTTGTCCCAGATTTAAGCCCACAGGACGGGCGACGCATCCTGTGAAACAAGTACAGTAGTAACATAGAGGCGCTAAGGGGCCACAATTTTAAGCAACGTAATAAGTGACATCTTCATAGTATTGCACCATTTAAAATTTAGTAGTAGGGCACAACAAGCCTAAAAAAGCATGCTATGAAAGGCCCTGACAGCTAATTAAAATATTACAACAGTGTGTCATGGGCCAACACAAACAAAAAGACAAGCTTAACTATGTGTCTCATTAAGTTCACACCTCAAACACTATTGAGAAGTGAAGTAACAGGGCTATCCACAACTCCTTCCTTTCTTTCCTCAAAAAAAGCTTTCAAACCTCAAATGGCAGTGTCCTTTCTTTCTTCTTTCTTTCCTTCCTTACATTTCATTCTTTTCCTCTCAGTAAAACTCAGGGAATGGCAATGCACTGACACTGATGCCACTGTCACTTCTTTGCACTTCTATTCTCTTTTCCTTCCTTCCCTACCTCAACAAAACCTGAAGGAAAGCTCAAAACACAAGACATGTCATTGTCACTTCCTTCCTTCTTCCAACAAAACTCAAAAGATTGGGCGCAGTGACAGAAATGGCCAGTTCCACAATAGCTATGAAACCCCATTTCTGCCACATATGGAGAAAAAAAACAACTGCTTTGGTAAATTTATGATTTACTTTTGGTATTTATAAGATGAAAAGTCAAAATTGAGGTAATTAGTCATAATTATCATATACAATAACTGACAAGTCAAAGTTTTTTGTCATAATTATGACTTTTATCTCATAATTGATTTACATAATCTCATTGACTCATTATCTCATAGTATTTCATAATTTTGACTTAATGTTATAACATTCGGCATAACGTTTATCTCAGATTCCACATTCATCCATAAATCTCTATTTATGTCAATTTGGATTTGTCATCTTGTAATTATGACTTAGTATCTCAATTTCAACTTTCTACATCATAATTATGATTACCAAATGATGGCTTTTTCTTATGTGGCAGAAATAGTATAACAAAAAGCATGTAAAATAGTTGGTATGCAAAGAGCATGGGCAATTTAGTGGCATCACACCAATCGGTGTAATTTCCCCCGTGAAATGCACAAAACGGATGCTATCAGTCTGGGGCTTCTTGTGTTAAGAGACAGCAAAGCTAATGATTCTCCGTCTTATCCATGTGTCAAAAAAGTCAGTTCAAGGTGGGAGAAGAGGGAAAAAAAGGCCATCATCACAATTAACAGCTCTTTATTTTAATTAGCCTTGCATTGTCAAAGACAACACCTCAATAATGCAAATTAAGCTGGTTGTTTAATATTCCCTCAGAGTTCCTTTGAAACTATTTTGTTTTCCTCTTTTCTCCCCTCAGCTATGTTCTCTCCTGATGAATCACGATTATTACTGGCGAGTTTGTTCCACCTGATTAACCGCTAAGCAATGATAGGCACTTATTTGCTTACTTAAAGGAGAGAAAGGTGGACAGACTGCTGAGATAAAGATACTACTGAAGTCATGGACTGCTAAAGGGTGACTTAACTTAAGGCTGCTGTACCGCAGCCTGGACCACAGAACTGTTTTACTTAATTGACTTCACACTTCACTAAAATAGATTCTCGCTCTATAACGGTTAGTCACAAGACCACACTACACGAGAGAGAAAAAGGGACAGAACTTAGAAAAACTGAGAATAAATGGACAGCTTCTTGTTTTATCTTCCAACTCTTGTTTTCCTAAACCATGGAAACATAAAAGGAATGACATGATCAAACTGACATCCACTCAAATTGACATTTACTAATTCGCAATCACGCTCCGACTGAAGCTTCTACACCCAGGAGAAGCAAGTGGAGGCTAAGCAAGCACACTAAGCTGAAACTCTTATGAAAGTGTGCTAGAATTTAAAAATATGATATTCCATTACAAACAATGTATAGAAATGTAATGCTATGCATGCATACACATACAGGAACTGGTTTAAGGCTGCATTATCCCCTTCTTTGGATTTATGTTGTTCAGAGAAAATCACAGGGACAATGAAAAACTTAAGGTACAGTAGAGTGTAATATTCAATACAAGTGGATTTTCATGAAAAGGATGATCAGTACTAACCAATGACAGGAGGGAATGTGACCAAATGTACGAATAAATGGCTTGTTTCTTCCATTAACATTAAGCACCATGAACTGAGTACATGGAAGAATGGTGTAAAATGACAGATTTGTTTTTTTGACCACCTTTATCTTTTTTTCTCTTTATCGTGCCGTCTTTCTATTAATCCCTCTATGATCCCTCCCATTCTCTCTTTTTCTCTGTCTCCCCCACCTGCACTCAGAACAGTCTGTGAGTCAGCATACAACACACACTGGTCAGTCCGTTGCCATGGCGACGGTGCAAGCTGAGGGCAAAATCGACAGCTTTTAAGAAGCGCAGACGCGGCTAGAATTTAAATGGTTGGCAGTGGCAGGGAAGGCTGTGTGTGTGTACTGTATGTGTGTGTGTGTGTGAGTTTTTTTGGGCCCAGATTAGCTGCCGGCATACAAGAAGCCAATCGAATAGTATAAAAAACCTAACAAGACCTCTGACGACCATCCCTTGATCCTATTCCTCAAATCTAAAGATGGGACCCAAAAAAGGGCTTTGATTGACAGGACCAGTACAAAACACCTCAATTTCCTCTAGGGTCATTCGGATGCGCCAAGTCTGCACTGCTCAAATCCGCCTAGAACATGATTTTGTTCTTGTGATGTGCAGCATGAATGAAAAAACAAACAAACAAACAAAAAAACAGATGAAATTCAAAAAAAATAAAAAATTAATGCATTTGTAAAGCTCAGTGTCTCGATCCCAGAGGAGCAATGCTGTAAATGTGTCATATTAATTGTGTTAAGACGTGGATCACATAAAACATATAGCATTTTGTGAACACTATAAAACTAAACTGGCTGAATAGTAAACCAAAATCAATCCATTTGTCTAGCTATCAACATAGGGAGCTTAAAATAATAGCTACGGTAATGCAAGCACACTGGTACCAGGAGAATTTACAATAGTTTTTGAAGTAGACATTTTTATGGTGTCGGTTAGTAAGTAAAAAGTGAAAAATTTATAAAAATGGCAATGTCATATATAAAAATGGGAATATGGAAATGAAATGCTGTACCTTAAGAATTAATGTCCCCTGGTGAGTAATTTTAATGCACTGTTTCTGTTTAACATTAAATGCACAATATAACACCTTCACAAAAGTTTTATTGAAAGCCAACTTGCTTTACTTGTAAAAAATACAAAATACAAATTGCAAATCAACAGAAACAAAATAACACATGACAGAAATTAAACAGAAATGGGGATGTCTGCAGCTTTAAATACAGTTCCAAAGATGATATACACTCCTCACAGAACGGAAAGGGTCGTATTCAACTTGTCTGTGTGCTGCGTTATGTGTAAACTAGCTGCTTCTGCAGGACATCCTTTCAACAATGCATCTTTCCAGAATAACATCACAAGTGATTATTGCTTTAAATATGGACACATGTCACTTAGAACCAGACTTCAAATGTACAAAATGGAGGATTGAACCACTATGAAAGCAGCTGAGATCTAATATCTATCTGGTTGGTTCTATTTTCACATCTGGTATTAAGAAAAGTTTGGTGTGTTAAGAATGAATTAAGCAAATTCTTCTATATGAAGCTATTTAGGTTGTTCATCGCCAATTTGCAACAGAACAAAAAAAATACATAAGGGATGAATGCACTCTCTTTCACACACACACACACACACACACACACGCACACATAGCTGGTTATTAACATTCACAATATACAACTTGCATTAAAAAAAAAAAAAAAAAAAACCTTTTCAATGATTGTCTCCAAAAGTTTGCTAATACAGTCCAAGATAAATGGTAATCATTTTTGGTTTTCTTGTTCAGTACTAGATAAAAGTACTAGAGAAAGGTGATTAAGTTTTAATGTCAATTCGCTTTCTATTTACAGTGAACGTGACATTATTCACAGCCTGGTAGAAATTCCGCAGTTAATAATTCAACAATATTCGATGGCACACTCTGTCATCTACAGCTGATCATAAATCTAAATTAAGCCATTCCACTTAGTTGTGTACATAACAAATAGAAGGCACTCTTTGCATGTGCAATCAGTGAAGCTTGAGAAAGAACAAGGGAAATACCGCCACTAATCTGTAAAAATAACCCACTTCAACTCCAACTAACAGGGTCTTATACATTTTTCAATGCCCACCAAAATGGGCCATGGAAAAATTCTAATATGTTCAGCTTACTTTTCCAAACTTCCTGTGTATTTTAACTTACTCAGTGCACAGTTTTCTTTTTTTATACAAAAAATATAATTTTGTGCAATTACCTAAAGCTAGCCTAACAAAAGATATGAAAACAATAACAGCTATTATCTGTTGTCTTTTAGAGTAAAACTCAAACAAATAAGTTTCTAACTCTCTGGTCAGAAGGTTATTATATCACAAAAATGTGTTTCAAGGGATATTGAAAGCAGGTCTGTTCATCTATTGAGGGGCAGCAATAAACACTGTCCAAATGAAAATGACCCTTATAAAGAAAATAAAAAGAGAAATAAGACTGTGTAGGATTGTCTCCTTCATGTAAATGAGTAGTAATTAAATTAAGTAAAAAAAAAAAAAAAAGGGTCGACAAAAAGAATCAGATCTTTCAATGATGTGCGTGGTTTGTGATCAGTGCAGCTTTTGTTTGACATTCATTCAGTTCCAGCCCCTAATACATGCCATTAGTCCACACAATGTTGCTGCGATACCCGTTGCTGTGATACCCTGTGCTGTGGTACCCTGGGCTTTGGTACCCTGTGCTGTGGTACCCTGCCATGCTTTCGAAGTTGTCTCCTACCTGTTTGCTGCTATATTTTGAAGAGTTGGCCTTGTAGCTGTAATCCGAATACTGGTCTGAGCCTGTTGAGTTGTTGTCCCCGGTTCCTACAAAGGTGTTGGTTGCTGGCAGGTCCTGCACTGCCTGATGTTTCTTTGAGGCAGAAGGTGACTGAGGTTGGAGCTGAATGGATGGCAGAGGAGAATTAGACCGGTAGTGTCTCCCTAGGTCTGGGCTTCCAGGGGGGTAGTTGAGCGGCAGGTGAATCCTAGGACTATCGTTGACGCTATCATTCATGAGGTTGAACTTTAGGCCTTTCTGAAGACTCCCCCCCTCATCCTCTTCAGATGGGTTGGCAGGCTTTGGAGCTTTGCTTTTCTTTATCTTCTTGTTCTTGTTGCTCTTAGGTCCTGGTTTGGGGGCATACAGGTCTTTGGTCTCCTTCTTGCCTGCTTGGTAGCCACTTTTATTCTCCTTTAGCACGACATGCCTGATGATCATAGCCACTGCAATGATTAGAATGACCACACAAAAGCCACCCAAGACTGCAAAAATAATGTTACTATGTGGGTCTCGAGAATAATCAGGATCTCCTGCAATGTCCATTTCAAGTGGCGTATAAAGACTGTGTCCAACAAGTCCTTCGATGTGGGAGACATTGCCGATGGTTTCATTGACATAGATGTGAACCAGTGCAGTCGTATGGCGTGGCGGCATGCCTTTGTCCTTAACTTTTACTACCAGACGGTGGAGACCAATGTGTTTGGATGTGAACTCTTTAGCCAACGTAATCTCACCTTCTAAAGAGATGTGGAACAATCCATGCGGGTTGCCCCCTACTATACTGAAATCCAGTTCTGAATTTAAACCGATGTCAATGTCCTCTGCCTCAACACTTTCTACGTGGGTTTCTGGGCTGGTGCGGGGATCCAAGAACTTGTATGAAGAGTTTGAGGGCTTGGTGACGTATGGAGCATTGTCATTCTCATCAAGAACATTAATGGTAATGCCAACGTAGGAAGAACGTGGTGGATCACCTCCGTCAACGGCTTTAAGTCGGAAACTGTAGGTGCTCTCCTTTTCCCTGTCAAAGGAAATAGTCGAAAGTATAGTGTACGTTCCATTTTGAATCATAAACTTGCCATTGTCTGGTTCTACAGAAAGTTGAACACGAGCATTCTCGCCCTCGTCGCGATCATTGACTGTTACCATTCCAACAGGACTAAGGGGCGGCATGTTTTCTTGGACTGAAAAGCTGTAACCATTAAGCATAAATTTAGGGTCATTGTCGTTCCTGTCGAGCACCTTAACAACAACAGTGGCAGTTCCTCTTAAGCTTGGTACACCTTTATCAGCTGCTGCCACTAGAAATTGATAGTGATTTAATTGTTCACGGTCCAACTGCCTCATGACACGCACTTCTCCTGTGTTAGGGTTAATTTCAAAGAGCCCCTCGGGGACTGATCCACCAGTGATACTGTATGTCAGCTCCGCATTAGTCCCGCTGTCGGCATCTGTGGCTACCACATCCAGAACCTTGTCACCTGGCTGGTTCTCCTCAGCAAATTCTACCTCGTACAAAGAAGGTGAGAAGACTGGGGAGTTGTCATTCATGTCTGTCACTTGCACCTTCAGGGAATTTGTGCTGGATAGTGCAGGGTTGCCAGAGTCCACTGCCACAATTTCAATCCTGTAGTCTTTGATCCGTTCATAGTCCAGTAGCATGGTTGTCTGGAGGAAGTACTTCCTCTTGCGGTCGTTGCCTGTTTCGCTAGCTGGACGCAGTTGGAATGGGACATCCCCTGCGACCACACAGGTCACAACTGCATTTTCACCTTCATCACGATCTGATACCTCCACCAGAGCCACAGCTGTGCCTACAGGCATGTCCTCCGATATGTTAGCGACACCATCTTCATGCGTCACAAGGCCAATGCCCCGGATCCTGATGGAGGGTTCATTGTCATTCTGGTCCTTCACTGTAATAGTCACAAGGGCTTTGGAGCTCTTTGATTGTGGACCATTGTCTTTAGCTTGGACGTAGAACTTGAGCATGCTAATCTCTTCACGATCCACCAAGCCTTTGACGAAAACGGTGCCCGTGTTGCGGTCAATGCTGAGGAGCCTCTGAACAGTTGGTGATGCCTGGTGGAGGCTGTAGGTCACCTCTCCATTGGGTCCCATATCAGAGTCATTGGCCTTCACCTGAAACAGTACATCACAACATGAAACTAAGCAAAGCACTGAAAAAATTATTTAGAAAAACAGATGATATAATCACAGGTTTACATATCAGTGTCAATACAGGGATTAAAATGCTTGGTCAGGACCATCATAAACAGATAAAGATGACTGTAAGCAGCAATTAATTACCAACAATATTAACAACAATATGTTTTACACACTTAAAAAGACCCAAAGATCATCCAAGAACTACTTCAGACTAATTAATAAATTAATTGAATTTTCCTGGAATTTAAAATAAAGCACACCTCATTTGATTCCAGAAAACAGCTTGTGATTTCACTAATTAGTAATACCATAATGAATGGGAATTGATTGTTATTAAATGTTCAATAAATAGGAAGAGACATGAGAAATGCACTTTCTCAGGGGGTTAAATATGATTAGGTTGTGTTTTGTGTTAAGTTAAATTCTCCAAAATTAGCAGTAGTTTGCTAGATTAAGTTAATTTGAGACATCACTTAAGTTACTCAGTCTTGGCACAGATTTCTACATATTTTTTGTGGTCTATTGCGAACCTGGGAATAATTTTAAACAGCTCTAAATCGAAGTGTGGCTTGATTAAAGCTTTCAAGCAATCAAGATTCCCTTGTTCCTGCAACATCCTCTCCTCTTTCCGTCCTTGGCTGTGTATGAAACATGCATGGTGTTTCAGTCCATGTATTACAGAGAACAGCCTTAATCTGAAGCAGTCATAAGATTATTCATGGTGCTTAAATTATTATTACTCTATATGAGTCACTCCATTTTATCCTCCATACTAACTGGGAATTCATTTCATTTAAAGTATTTGAAGAGCATTTCTCTGAACAAGCTGAAACACTCCATCAACATTTACAACCCTCTGAAATCACAAAATTAAGCTGTTTTAATACCACTACTGCTTATTTACTTTGGCTTCAAAGGATGCTTATGAGGACTGAGAGGAAAATAAAGTCTTCTGACATGCTCTTTGAATACAACTTGGTTGCATGGATTAATTGTTGACTGAGAGATTAACGGTCATTAATAAAACATTTTGCCTGGACACTTGCTTTAGATTGATCTTGGAAAGCTTCCAGCCTTCACAGCTATCCTAATCTTAGCAGTGCTTTCGTTTCCACAACAATTCAACATGTAATTCTCACCACCAGTCAATACTTCTCTCCTGTTTTGTAAAGCTTGTGTTTAAAGGAACCGTGAGGGATCAATCGATTGCCTGTGAAAATATGATTTGGCTTTCCCATTTCTTCCGCTTTAACCCTGTTGTGTGGGAATCGAGGCTAAAGCCCATCGGTATAACTGAGATTTCCATTTACAAGAGCTTGTCAGCCTCTGTATGTGGGGCTTGAGTGCACTTCTATTACTAAGCTGTCAAATCAGCTCCTCTATAACTTAGTGCTCAGTTTAAAGGTTTAGCATAATACTTGCTTACAGGTGAGTTTACTGAGACACTTGTGTCACAACCTTATAAGAGAGGGAAGTGTACATGTGCAGTCTAATGATATTTATTTGATGTACTGAATTTTAATTGAATTTACCCGCTCATTCTTTATATTCACTAAACATTTATATTGATATATATTTTTACTTTATTAATATTTTATATAATAATAAACATTAAATATACATAAATAGTCATTGTATAAAAGTATTAAATTAAAATATAATAATAATTATAAGAAGAATTTACGATGAATCTAACAGGCATTTTCATGCAACATGATGTCACGAGTCCTGTCCATGAACTGCTGTCCGCTTGCTACCAGAGGTTGCCCTCCCATTATATTGACTTTCACATTACACAGACTGTTGCATGTCACTCTGGACTACATTTCCCATCATTGATTGCACTGATTACACACACAGCTGCAACCAATCAAACACCCTACATAAGCCATGGACTTCCTCTTTCTCACTGCCAGTATTGTTTGCAAATATCGTTACGTTAGTGATAGCAATGTTATGGAGCCTTTTACCTAGTCAAGTATTTGTTCCTAGTTCTAGTCTAGTCTTGTCTCGTTGTGTTATCTGGTTGCCTGATTCTCTGCCTGCCTTGGATTTCTCTCACCTTGTCGTTTGGACTCTGTTTGGCCCTTTACTGAACTATCGCCTGTTTGTGGATTACCCATTTGCCTTGCCCTCTGGATTACGTTTGCCGATCGAAGACCCTCGCCTGCCCTAGGAATACTCTTTGCCTTGCCTGTGATGGACCTGTGTTGTTATCTGACCCTTGCCCGTTTTTTGACCACACCTTTGTAATAAAGCCTTGCACATGGATCCGCACGTCTCATGTTCTGATTACTCCGTAACACATGACTTACAATGCATTCAAAGTATATATAATTTTCCTGTATATGACATAACCTTAAAATTGCTAGCATCATGTTATTACATTTGTTTAGTTTTAGATAGAAAGTATGACAAAAAACTGATTACTTACTTGAAGAACAGAATGACCCACTGGGCTGTTTTCTGGGAGCTCACCCTCGTAGTGTGACTTCTCAAATTTGGGCACATTGTCATTGGCATCTGTAACGGTGATCCTGAGCAGGGCGCTACTCTGGCGGGGCGGAGAGCCACCATCAACCACTTTTATGTTGAGGTCATATGAATCTCGCTGCTCTCTATCCAGGTTTCCCAAAACAATGAGTTGTGGCAATTTCTCATCTGAGTCTTGCGCCACCTGCAGGCTGAAAAGGTTGGCAGCTTCAGGGCCAGTCGTTAGCGCATAATCGGCAATGCCATTGCTTCCAGAATCCCTGTCAGTGGCCACAGGAATTGCGAAGAGCGCACCCACGTGCGTGTTCTCCGGGATCGACAGTGTCAAGACAGGTGAAGAGAACTGTGGAGTGTTGTCGTTCTCATCCAAGATCTCGATGCGGCCTTCGATGAGCCGAGGTCCTGTTCCTTTCATTAGGTCTGTAATAGACACCTCAAATTCTAGGAAACAAGGATCACCCTCAAAAAGGTTGCGACAGTCCTTGAGAGTCTCACGATCGATTGGGATCTCTGTAGTGTAGATATCCCCTGTTTTCCCATCCACACGGAGGAAAGGAGCGCCCACCTCGAGTTTGTAAAGGTGACCGGTGTCTGGCAAGCCCTGGTCAGATGCCAAGCTGCCAATCAGTGTGTTAGGCGGCTGCTCCTCGGTCACCTGGTAGATGATGGTGCTGACTACATCTGCAGAGCAACAGAGGAAAAGGAAAATCCACACTAGCATGGCACTCCACCGTGACCACATCTCATTGGCACTCTGGCACATCATCAGTCTGTTGCTGCAAAAGATCAAGCAAACAAACAAACAAATAAGATTAGAGAAACACTCATTCTTCAGGCACAATCCTTCAAAGTCTCTGACAGTGCCAAGAAGCCTGTAACGTGATGGCAGCCACAGTTTTATGGTACTGATTCCCGGGGATTTATGATTGATTGTCCCTTCATGTGTTGTAAACCTCTCCTTTTTAGAGGCAGTAAATGTGTCACAAACAGTTACTTGTGTTTGACCTTCATTCTGCAAACTTCATTTCAGTTCTAATTCATAAACACAACATATGCCCGTATTCCTGAGAGATGCATTGGCTGACTGACCCTATGAGAGGAGGAAGCTAGCAGACAAGTGATGTCCATTCAAATAATGCTGTCACTCTGCTTGATCTACCTTTGCTAAGCTATTGGTAAACTGCCTCAGCTCTCATTTCCAGAATCATGCCTGGGGTCAACAAAAAGGTGAAAACCACCACAAAATCAACCAAACATGATTATTTTTCCTCATCTCCCAGAGCCTTATGCATTATTTTCAGTCCGCGTGAACCGGAAGTTGCGACTGACTTTACTTCCGCATTCTGATGTGCTTCCGAGACAAACAGAATATTGCATGAGAAAAACAGAGGGTGTGGCTTGTCTTTTTTTCTACTGCGAACTGATTGAATGTAGTAAAGTAGGCGTTTCATTCAGAACAATACTGATAGTTGGAGGGGCGTTTTTAAGGATGTAATGCTCAAGCCCAAGACATCAAACTGACGTAATCAGAGAAGGTCCGTCATATCTGAGGGGAGGTGCATTTTCAGATTTGGATTAAAGATTATGAAGGCAAACATTTTTTTTTTTTTGTGGATTGACTTGCACGGATGAATTGTACACCACAAAAATAGCAGTGTGCGCAAACAAAATAATATAGTCAATTTTGATTTCATGTGTACTTTAATTGTTAGTTATTTTAGTTACCTTAGGTCAATTCTCCCTCTTTTCTAAAAACTTTAACTTATTCTGTAGTAAAATTAAATCCGAAAACTAAAAACTGAACTAAAATAAATTATTAATAATAATTAGTTATTTTAATAATAAATATAAAACCATATAAAACAATGTTACAAATGTTACAAAAAGTAGGAAAATAAACTAAAAGCATGGTTTCTTGAACACAGTGTCACATGTGAATCTTCCATTTCCTGTTTGAGTATTTAAGTTACTGAACACATGTTAGAAGAGTGTGGCTTTCTAATCTTCCAGTGCCACTTCAGCTGATAGCTATTCACAGCAAATGACTCCCAATTTGTGGCAACATCACACAACCACAGGGAGGTAAAAGACGGGTCTATAGAGTGTGTCTTGACAACAGCCCCCCCTCCTGCCACTTCACCAAACATTAACAAGCTCAGCGTGACATACTGCAAAAGAACACAAAAAAGAAAAATCAAATAAATAAATCAGATTCTGTTTAATCCATCACGTTTAAGGTCATGTTACTTTGATGTTTCCCTCTGTGGTAATCGCAGACCCCTGTAACATATGTGGAACGTTATCCCACCATGCTCCCCATGGCTAATGAGGCAGGGCTGCTAGATTACTGTCCAGAAGAGACAAACACCTCAACTCGACCCAGCTGTGAACCAATGGGGGATGTGAAAGTGCTGCCACCAGTTACATTCTGCCTGTGAATACCAAGCCTAAAGAATCAAAATCAGTTTTTAAATGTCACCTTCCATGAGGTTGAAAAAAAAATAATTGTATAACTTTAAGACCACAAATATACAAAGAAAAATGACTGTCAGCATATTGGGGCAGCCATTTGGGGACTAAAAGGAAGTGACTTCTTCCATACACTCATCAGTATTGATTGTTTGTTGTAGTTTAGTGCATGTACCATTCAATATTTTTCCATTAGCAGACACATGACATAGCGAGCATTTCATAAACAGATTGCAAAGAAAAAAATAACAACGTGTGGTTAGAGTAACGAAAAAATGGCTAAGGTAACTGCAACAAGCACACACCACCTCACACACTCCACCAATTCATGGGAAAGGCAGTTTTAATATACACAAATTAGACACCAGTGACTACAAACACACTCGAACAACTGCAGCCACAAGGCAACGACACTGTAGGGAGAACAATGCACTAATGAGGCTGAAATTAAGGGTGGGACGTGTGACCCTGATCACACATATGATGAGAGCTTGACTCGTTTATTACTAATTTCACAGTCTAATTCTGAATCTGTCGAGACAGAAGACTCTGACACACTTTCATGTGGCTAATTAAATAGCGAAGAAAGCAAAGGGGGCTGGCGAGGTGAAAAATATCTCACCTTTAAAGCAATGTATCTTTCACTGTGGTTTTGAACGACCATCTTATGGAGTTGGTATTTCACAGTGATCCGTCCGAGTCTCTGCTGTAGGTGTGTGTTGAATTTTTACCGTGTGTTGATGAAAAAAGGTCACCGAAAATGCAGGGCAGGGACCTCAGATGCACTGGGTCAAGGATTAACCGGGCTGAAAAAATTGGCACTAAAATGCTATTTGTTTAAACAAAAAGTACACAATCTATATATATAAACTAAACCAAAACATCCCATCTTCATCGTGCACTGGAAAAGTCAACAAAGCTCAAAAACATTCTCGCAACATGAAAAGCGTGTGAATCTGTTTGTTGAGATGAAGGGTTTAAAAAGCTCTCACGACATTCGCTCTCAAGGGCCCGGCGTAAAGAGTCTGTGTTAAGGGTCACTGTACACTGGGAACCCTAATGTGGGCTGTAGACATCCTTTCCCAGACTCTTCTATGAATATGAATGCATGTGTGCTCACATATGTATGCCCCATACATCTGTGGGTGTGTAAAACTTACACACAAGATCTAAAAACAACCACAGCAAAGGAATGTCAGTGAGTGTTTGTGAGCAGACAAGTGGAGGCAAATGGAAAATCTTAGAGAAAAACATGAAGGTCATAAAAAAAGAAAAACAGCTGAACGTGTTTGAGTATATGAAATTTAAGGGTGGCAACGACTCAAGACCAATTTATACTTCTGCATCGAACCTACGCCGTAGCCTATGCATAGACGCACACCCTACGCCGTAGCCTGACATGCACCTCTCCAAAAATCTAACAGCACGTTAGCAATTCTACACGGACCGCAAGCGCTGTGATTGGTCTGCTAGAACCCCTCCCTCCATATGTATTTGAGTTTTGTGTATGTTTATGTGCACTTTAATATATTTTAATGTTACAACTTCTTATATAAAATAAAACAAAGCAAAGAACAAGTGTCTTATCATTTCTTATACTACATAGCATTATACATCAGTAGTTGTCCGCGACAAACAATGTTGATCTGCCGTGGTACAAGTCATTATGGAGATGCCATCTTGCCATCGTCTCCTGTTCCATTGTTGTCTGCTTTCTGCTGTCTTTTTGTAGTTTTAAATAATGATTTAATGATTTGATATTTATTTGCCGCCGTCACAGCTATAATGCTTCTCCGACGAGCCGTGGTACTGCGGGTTACACCAGCAACATACCCGTGGACACTGCAGACTAGTGGTTTGCATGTGTACTGCACGTCGATGCGGACAACGACGCAGAAGTATAAATGAAAACTCAAGCATAGCCTACGGCATAAAGGCTATGGCGTAGGTCCGACACAGAAGTATAAATTGGGCTTCAGGCTTTCGGCTAAGAACTCTCCTTTGTAATGGAAATGCATAAGTGCATATGAGTGGTGTGCCTTAACAGCAGCAACATTTACAAGACATGAGGTCCTAACAGAGTCAAATCAAGCACTGCTACCTAGCAGACAGCTTTCCTTTCAGTTGCAGAGTTAGCACTTAGCCTTCACACAGGTACACAAAAAGCCTAGCCATTACAATGACAATAGGCCGTCGGTGGGGCTTTTCTTCACCTACGAACTTTGATTGTCATCATTACATGGTCAGAGAGGCAATTTATGACAGGCCCTAAATCAACAAGCACCATCCACCTCTCTAATAATGTCTTCAAATGCACCATCGTCGAGCCGCAGCTAAGATCTCCTCGCAGGGAGACAGCCGTCGCCAGAGTGCGGTACTTATGACTACTGTCATAATCCTGTGAGAATTTATGCTCGGTTCTCAGGCAGTGTAGCCTAATTCATATTGTACTGCTGTGTATAAGCTGGATGTCATTAATATAATCAATAGCTGTGAGCGCAAAGGAAAGCATGAATCGGCGTTCCCCCTATGGAGTCTCACAATTGGCTCTTTACAGATTATTCACAGTACATTTGGCCAGAATTTTCACATCAGCTTTAGGGGGAATGCAGTTCCTCTCTCATTTCATGTCCGCGAAAAACACATTGTTCATTTCACACCTGGTCTCTTGTAACAAAACCTCCTACATCTCTCTGTCTTTCTCTTTCATATGCACACCATCCTTTTATGCCCTCCCGTGCCCTTTCAGATATGCGCTCATATATATATACTGTCGAGAAGGCCATTGTGTTGTTGCGCAGGGGGAGGTTAACAGATTTAACGGGCTAATTACTATTCTAAAGCCTCCCCCGCTGACATGCTTTAAAATTGCTGTATGATTTTCTCTCTTCCTCACTCTCACTGTCTCGCTCGCCTTCTTTCCTCTTTAGAGACTTGTAATGAGGAATTTATCATTGTACCAATGCTCACCCTTCCTTTGCCAGCAAAAAAAACCCTTGGGAATATGAGGATGGCATAGCCCCCCCCCCAGGTGGCATCCAGCTCAGCATGGAACAGCAAGGTGATTCTGGAGAAAATAAAGCAATAAAAGCATTTACGTAACCGCCGTGGCAGGAGTCAGATTCCTGGATGAGACACAGCAGTGGCACTGCGTCATGGTAACACACTCAGTCAATGATTGTTTTAACCCCGCCCCATTCCGGTTTCAACGTGATAACTAAAGAATTAAATTAAAGCGGTGACATTTATGAGGGTTCAGGAGTCAGCTCTTGTCTGAAGTCAGGAAAATGATTGACTCAGAAGGAAGTGTGAGTGCAGCATCTGTCCTAGGTTAATGGTTAACTCATTCGGCTCAACTGACATTTTAGTGTGCACCTGAAGTGCATATACGAGAAATATAGCATAAAAGCTGAATATTTATTTCCTTAAGGTTACATGAGGTAAGCCGATTGACTCACCAATTGAATAATGTTGCCGATTAATCAGCAAGGAGATCGAAAAAGTGTGTACTGACCTGTGAATAAAATGCATTCATATTTGCTCATTCTCATGGAGACCACATAAATGAATCCTCCTGAAACCACATAAATGAGCTAAAATGTAGTTCAGTAGGCAATAAACACTAACCAACCACATCCTAAATACTGAGTGCGTCAATACTTCGATGCCAGCGCCCACAGCCAATGAGTTGAGTTCACGTGAGCTTTTGTCCTCGGCTGCAGCCATCTAGGCTCTATGGGCCACCAGCTCCACGGCGTTCAGTGACCTGTTCTGGATGGGTGGTCCAAGGCCCCCCTCCCAGCCAAGTGCGAGGCACAGAGGATTACTTTAATTATTTCATTCAGCCATTGTGGGGCCAGATTAGTCTGCGCCCACTTTCAGATGAGATGAACTGCTGCCCCGCTGCTGTCTACCAGGCTGTTACACAGAGAGAGCTGGCCAGTCACAAGGCTGGCATGCAGACTCTCACACACCATTATACATGGCTGAACACACACACACACACACACACACACTGATAACATAGACGAAGACGGGAGGACTGCTGCTAATATTATGGGTTAAACAGACCAAGAGGTTGTAATAAAATTAGTGAAATAGGTTTTATTTTACTTGATATATATGTATTACTTTTGTAATGCTGTCAAAATGGGAAGAAAGAAGCTCAACACTGGTTGACTGCTTGTTATTTAGTCGTTTTGACCAATAGACAATTATTTTCCATGAACAGTATAAATGCACATTATATTAACTAATTAAACTTAATCTTTATATATATAGTTGAAGGATTCTAGATGTTGCCTTACAAGAAATGAAACCGAAGACATTTGTTTGCATTATTTCCTACAGTAAAACAAACCCATAAGCACAGAAATGCTGAAATGTATCATTTTAGGTTGGTTTTGGAAATTGTCATTACACAATAACTGGAAGAATTAGCTAATTAAACTAATAATTTATACATGGGCATATTAATAAAACAAAAAGCCTGTCACAGTAAAGACTAGAAACAACTTCAAGGAAGCAACTCATAACCTTTGAGTCTGCTCATTTGGGCACTGCAATGTGTGTATTTCATTTATAGTCAAATATACATGTGATTTCTAACAAGACCCATTAAAAAAAAGCATTTACACTCGGTTACTTGACGTTTGAACGTTGCAGTTTCGGTCCATTCAAACGGCAAATGTGGCTCTCTGTGTGTGCAAGAGGAGTGTCATTCCCTCCCATTTCTCTGGACTCTCATACTCGGTGTGGAGCGTTTACGCCCATCAAGTTTACTAAGGGCTGGTTATAATGATCGACTGCCCGAAATGTGCTAATTCTTTTAATTTTTAAAAGGAATCTCCATGGAATAATAACAAGACGGTAGATATGGCTGACAGAGAACGTTAACTATAACAATAGCAATGTTATATAGCCCATTTAAGAAACGTAAATCTATAATAAACTGATAAAACATGATAGCATTTATGTTTTGTCAACGTACCGTCCGAAAGGCTCAGCGGTCTGCTGTTCCTAAGGTTCCTCCTCAGACAACACGATTTCTGTTCGTGAGCGCCTATTTATTAGGTGAAAACACAAGCCCACTAACATGTAACTTTTGTGGTTACTTAAAATCTCACTGAAACGTTGGGAGTTACATGTAAAAACTTTGGTTTTGACTTCCTTAGAAAGTACAAGTCTTTATATGGGGTCAGCCACCCCCATCCCCCCATTCCATAAATTCAAATCGCATTCGCCTATAATTGCCCAGGTTGAGGGACGAATACAGTTTCAGTAGCCTACATTAAAGACATGGAGGGGGGGATAACATAACGTGTTTATAAGATCCACAGATCAATAATCTACCGGATCGGCACGATAATCTTGCTCAAGTGCCGGTGTGCTTGTGCTGATGCCTACAGAACACGATCTCGATGATTGCGGAAGGGAAATGACTTTTACCTGCGGATGAATGCGAGCCGAGTTAGACCAGGTCATTTGCAAGCCATTGCGGGCTGCTGTACAATTTCACATCCGGCTGAACGCTTTGCCTACAAAGGAACCACAGAAAGAATCGAGATGTCCGATCACAGCTGGGCGGAATGAAGTTGAAGCCTTCCCTGTGTTTTCACACCTGTTTCTCTCAGCCGGACCAGACTAACAGGTTTAAAAGCAACCCGACGACGGGAGCGGCCAGAAAGACCGGATTCCGCTGTTGTGACAGGCATGCTTTGTTCATTAACGATTATGGTGACTGGTACCAAGGAAAGATACTAGTGCATCTCGTGAAATGTTGACTAGCCGACATTCTGCGGGTAAAGTTAACCGCAGAAATTTTAAACGCAGTGAGATGGAAACGTAGGGCTAGCCTGTATGAGAAATGCGCAAAACGAGATCAACAGGTGTTGTGGGAGCGAGAAATAACCAAATAAGATAGCAAACTTAAGGGTTTATCCATAAAAGCTCACAAAATATATCCAGATTCATTATTCTGTCTACTATGAACAGTGCTTAAAAGCGTCGAACAAGTTTACATGCAATAAGCGCAGTTCCTGTGAGGGTTTCCTGTCAGATGTGGGTTTTTTTCTCATCTATAATGCGCTCGTTCTCGGGCGCACTGGAAACTGTTGAATATTTCATATTAGAGCGAGGAATCGATTAAAATCTACGCGAAGATGCACTGACTGGCACTTGAGCTACATGAAGATGTTAGGCTATATCTGTGGATGCATGGGGTCAAGGGTTTATTTTCTATATGTGGAAATGTAATAGCAAGCGTGGATTGGCAATCCACCCGAGCGCTCGGTTTCATGTAGAAAAATCAATAGCAGTAGTATAGGGAAAACATGTCACATGTGAGCTAATCAGCTCTGAGGACAATCGAGGGCGATGTTAACTTGAGATATCGATACAATCTTGATATTTAAACTGAAGCGTGCAGCCCTTCATAGTTATCTGCTCGGCGTTTATTATAATGAAAACTCAAATAATCTTGTGACAGCACTCTGTCGAGTTATATCATATGTCTGTCGTAATTATGATTTACATAAATGCACAGAAACAAACACAGACTACCTATCTCTATTAAAACAAGTATCCCTACATGGCTCCTATTGTAACCTCATTACGGACAACATGAGAGCGCACACATTGGTAAGACGAACACATGTGCAAATGTATAAATATCAATAGCAAAAAATAAAAATAAATCTCATATACCTTAATGGATATATTGGCCGCTTTCCCTTTGCAAGCCACAAATCAAGCGCTTTGGATATCCAAAATTCAGCACCACCGCAATCCTGTCGATACAAAACAGCACCCTTTTCCGCTGTCAGCTCTCTTGGTTTTCCGTAAAATTCCTATTTTTAACACGGAGGGTCCGCTAGAACTGTAGCAAAAAGTGTCACGTCAGAAAATAACAGCGCGCAACTTGGCTGATGGTGGTTACGCACATCAGAGAGAAGTGTCCTCTCCTTGCGCACGAAAGGAAACCCCGAACCAGCGCTACTCCAGACCGGGCTCACAGCATCCCGACACCTCCAATTCCACACGACAACATCCTTCAAAACTTAGACCTTCAGTCAACAACTGTCTGTGCATAAAAGTGAAAACAGAAAAATCTTCCAAGGCAATGTCCGGTAGCGTCCAGTGCGCGTGCTCTCATCATCAGTTCACTATTCAGTGTTACTGAAGACGCCGGGGCTCGGGCTCTTGCCGCAGCTCACCGCGCGCTTGTATACTGTGGATAGCCTATGTGAGAGTGAAGGGATTTCCGACCGATTGCGCTCTCGCTCTCCCCCTCTCTCGCCCACTCGCTCGCTCAGTCCCTCATAAAAGAACATCATTTTGAATCGTCAAGGGCGGAGCTTTGGAAGACGTGCTTCTGTGGACTCCACAACAAAACCTCATTCGTATTTATCCAAACATTACCAAGTGCCAGTGTTGCCATATCCGCTTATTATAAGCGAATATGCCTGTTTTGTCATTGTGAGCAGTCGCAAGTTGGAGATCCAGAACACAGTAGTGGCTAAAGTGTGACAAACTAGGCTACTAACTGAAGCTGTCAAGTATCTACATTTACAGTTTGAGCCATGCATGCTCTTCATATGTTCCATTTCCAAATATGAATACTTCCCCACTTTAGTATATGTAAATGAGCATGATGTCCAAAAAGCAGAAGCCTATTATTGAAATAGTGAATACTACTCAAATGACAGCTGTGAAAATCTATGAAAGTGGTAACGGTACTTGTTTAACAACACCAAAAGTATGTGTTTGTGACTGTTGTTATTACACACTAGGTCAAAGAGCATAGGGGTCAAAGGACAATGACAACATGGCGAATGTATTATGGCAATGTATTTATACCTAGGCTACTACAAACAGAATGTGCTTCATCAACAGCCAACAAGTACATGCCACTGATGAACCATTGGGATTCAAGCAGCGATTTGAATTGTATATGCAAAATTCTTTATTTTGTATTTATTATTATTATTATTGTCATTTGGAAATGGTTTTAATTAGACCCACACTTTTTGGTGAGGGATGTAACTTGGTACTTGCCTGTTTCTCTTCTGTGATCTGGAAACACTGCCAAGAGGGATACCTCCTAAACTTCGCATGCAGAAAAAAAACTTCGGGATGCGTCTCAGAACCACACAGAAAAACCGATTATTTCCGTCCCCTTTTCAACCCGTGTCACGCTGCGCGCACATCCCTCGTGCAGGTGCTATCTTCCTCATACTGTTGTTATTACACACTAGGTCAAAGAGCATAGGGGTCAAAGGACAATGACAACATGGCGAATGTATTATGGCAATGTATTTATACCTAGGCTACTACAAACAGAATGTGCTTCATCAACAGCCAACAAGTACATGCCACTGATGAACCATTGGGATTCAAGCAGCGATTTGAATTGTATATGCAAAATTCTTTATTTTGTATTTATTATTATTATTATTGTCATTTGGAAATGGTTTTAATTAGACCCACACTTTTTGGTGAGGGATGTAACTTGGTACTTGCCTGTTTCTCTTCTGTGATCTGGAAACACTGCCAAGAGGGATACCTCCTAAACTTCGCATGCAGAAAAAAAAACTTCGGGATGCGTCTCAGAACCACACAGAAAAACCGATTATTTCCGTCCCCTTTTCAACCCGTGTCACGCTGCGCGCACATCCCTCGTGCAGGTGCTATCTTCCTCATGCATACACCTTATCTGAAAGACATTTTTATGAAGAATAAAAATTATATTAACATAACGTCTGCCTTTTTTTAATTAAGAAACATTATATGCGTTCACCCGAAACTCAAACACAATTGTCACGTATGAGAGTTGAGCTAGCAAACACAACAGCGAGGTTTTCAATCAATCTCTACTTTATTTAAAAAATGATCATCTGCATCAACACACCATGTTAAATGATATTTTGTAATTTATCACGCTGTCAAGCGGGCACTAAGTAGGAGGGAGAGTGGGAAAATCCTATAGATCCTTAAATGCCAATGTACTAGAGTTCAGCAGGATATGTTCATTGTGCTCTGAGCGGCATCTAGAGGTTACATGAGGAATAATTATTACACACACTGTGAGTCAAACTAATACACGTAACTGTACACTGTGGATAGGAGATACATTGAACTAAGTGTGCTTAGCATTGTACTTTTTTGTTCTTTCACAGACAGCTAAGCAATTTCACCATCTGTTTACATCATCGATGCAAGTTTCTACACTCTAAAAAATGCTGGGTTACTGGGTAGCTGGGTTTGTCCCTTTTTAAACCAGCGCTGGGTTACATTTAACCCAGTATTTTTTAGAGTGTAGTTAAGCAGACGCTGAAATGCAGGAACCAGAACTAGACTGTTTGGAATTGTTTTGTGGGTTAATATGGTTTAAAGGGGACAAAAATAATTCTCACAGTCAATATCTATATATATATATATATATATATATATATATATATATATATATATATATATATATATATATATATATATATATCAGAAACATTAAAACCTCAGATTATGAAACATTTAAGTTTATATCAAACTTAGCAGGGAAGCACACTTTACTTCAGTGTTTGTAACTCATATTTATATGTTTCAAATATTAGTTTAGAGATATTGTCTATAAACTTTTTCAATTAAATGTCAAGTACAAAGAGCTGTTACAACCCACCCATACAGAATGGGTTGTAACACTAGAAAGCATGTTTGTTTTAAAGGGATAGTTCACCCAAAAATACTGTCATTAATTACTCACCCTCATGTCGTTCCAAACCCGTAAGACCTTCGTTAATCTTCGGAACACAAATTAAAATTAATTTGAATTCAATTAAAATTAAACAAATTAAAACTTCAGTTTTGCGAAGCTATGAGAATACTTTTTGAGTGCAAAGAAAACAAAAATAACATAATTTATTGAACGATTCTTCTCCCCCGAGTTAAGTCTTCTGCCATTTTAGAGTATCACAACACATACGCACGCTTTCCCCTAAGCATAAACTACGCAGATTACATTCATGCGCGTGCTTTCTCCCCCAAACGTGAACAGCGCTAATTACGTCGATTACACAGAAGGGTACTCTCCAAAATGGTGGAAGACGTAACTCGGGGGAGAAGAATTGTTAAATAAATGGTTATTTTTGTTTTCTTTGCGCACAAAAAGTATTCTCGTAACTTAAAAACATCTTAATTCATGTTCTGAAGATGAACGAAGGTCTTACGGGTTTGGAAAAAACATGAGGGTGAGTAATTAATTACATAATTTTCATTTTGGGGTGAACTCAGTACCGTTTCTAGGCATAGCCGAGCTAGGCGGTTGCCTAGGGTGCCACCAGCTGAAGGGGCGCCAATGAGCGCACGTACTGGCACTACATTTTAGCAGGGTTGTGATAAAGAGTGGCACGGTCACCCTGAAATATGACTGCTGCCCCCACTGGATCCCCCAACATCATTGGGCTAGAGTACTGTTAATCTGACGATGCCTGTATGCCATTGGATTTGAGTGCTGTCAATTGCTGCCTGATTGTTGCATGCAAAGTTTGCATTTGGAGCGCTCATCAACGCCATTAGATCAATGGGCTCTGTCAGTGATTTGGCAAGGTATTTGGCCATGCAATAAAGCTAAGTTCAATGGCCAATTTAAATATTGGTACAGTAAATAAAGTGCACAAAATCAGTATTTTGTTTAGGCAGTATTTGTGGCAGTTGATAAATCATGTTGCGAGGTTTGTCCAAAAGGTGTGCGTTTTTGCGCCAATGCATTGTTAAAGGATCAGCGTGTCATATTCCCATATAAACTTTAACAGCCAATTAAAAAATATCGGTATAATAAAATTTGCTAATTCACGTGATCAATACATCCTTTATTAAACCGCTTTGTCGAGTTTAATGCATCCTTACAGAGGTGTCGAAATGCTGAATCAATTAATTCACTTCCAACAGCACTGTGAGCAGCGTCATACACATAGAGGGCAGAGTGTCGCGTTATTTAAAGGGAAAGTTCACGCGTTAATGAGTAGCAAAGGATTAAGCAGCTGCATTGATTACTTTTATGCCACTGATCAGGCTTTTATATGTAGTTTGGGATAACAAAGGGTTTTATAGGTTTGACTGAAATAATAATGCAATAATTGACCCTTTAAATCAATGTTTCAAGCAACAACAACAAAACAATTGAACAAAAAACAGATAAAGAGAAAAAGTAGCCATTGATAATATCTAAACATGTATCCAAATCCAAATGTAATAAAATTAATTTATGTGAGATTTATGTGTATTTATTGTTACATAGGGCTAAACAGTCATCTAGTGGCAACACAATGATATTACAGATAATCAATTGTGCAAAATGTTTATCTTAACAGTCAATTTACAAATAATGCATTCAGATTTGTGGAACTCACAATGTGCTGAATCTCCACAAATTAGTGTCGATACTATGACAACCAATTTGAATGTGACAAGAAACTGGTGTCTGAAAAGAATATATATATAGAGAATTTATATCCCCGGATTTTGCCTAGGGCGTCAAATTGGCTAGAAACGGTCCTGAACTAACCCTTTAAATTTGGAATTATTTCAAAATTATATTGATATAATTATATGTATTATTGTTATTGAATTATAAGTATACATATATAATTATAATTACATATGTTTTTGTGCTGTAAATCCTTTATATTTTCAGATAAAAGTGGTGGCCATGTATTATAGTGATGTTTCCTGTATCTCATTTCTAATTGGTTAAATTGTTGGGAGCAATGCACCTGGCGCAATGCGGCACCAGGCGTGACGCAAGTGTTTTTTGCTAGTTTCAGCCCGACGCAGTTGTCATTTTGAACATTGGATCATTTTGAAAAAATGCATTTGCGCCCATTTGTGCGCCCATGGGCGTGCTGGTCTGAAAACGAGGTGTGTTCAGGTTCATTGCTGGCGCGTTGCTATTTTGAGGCAACTGAAATAGACTGCGCCATTGACCAACAAAAACCTGGTCTAAAGTCAATGGTGCAGTAGTTTATTTTTTGTTATTTAAAGAGCGCGTTAATATAGGTGGGTCCACAGTGTGTGTACACTCTGCTTATTACAGAAACAGGGACACACAGCAGCACAGATTCATCTCTGGAGACGCGTTCTGTCTTTGCGCTTGCGAATTCTGCCGTGTAGATAGCAAATCCGCCATGGCACGAGCGCAACTGGCTCTTAAAGGGAATGGGAGATGAGACTCTGATTGGTTTATTGCACATTATGCCCAAAACACACCCATTACTCATTAAGAGAATAGG